CTGTGTTAACTAGTGGGGGAGCCTGAAGCTAAGCTAACTTAGCTTAGCGGGGGTGAGCGGAGCAGAGCGGAGCGGCTGGGGGGGCAGCTAGCAGAGCAGAGCAGAGCAGAGCCTTGTGGGAGCGGCCCAAGGGACGAGCGGAGCGGAGCGGCGCGGCTCACAGGTCGGTGAGCGGGGCGGAGCGGCATGGCTCACAGGTCGGTGAGCGGAGCGGAGCGGCGCGGCTCACAGGTCGGTGAGCGGAGCGGAGCAGCTGCCAGAGCAGTTCGTGGTGAAGGCTGTGGTGGAACCCCACGGAGAAGCAGCCGGTTGGCCTCGGATCACGTAAGGTGCCCCTTAACACCCTGCTCACCCCCCCCTTTGAACTCTGGGGCTGCACTGATCATGGACAGAGACTTTGGGGGGTTGCCGGACTTTTGGGACTTTTATGATTCTTGGGTTGCTGGACCCAAGAGACTTTGGGATTGGTGGACTTTTGGGACTTTGGTGATTCTTGGGTCACTGGTTTCAAGAACCAACGGGAGAGGACACGGCCCAATTTGCTGGGGTGGGTCTTCGCTCATGGTTTGGTCTAAGAACTCTAGTTGTGGTGTTTTTCCAATTTAATGCTGATGTTGTTTACCTCTTGTTATTAAACATTTTCTGTTACACTCAGACTCCGTGCTTGCGAGAGGGGAACTATTGCCTCTTAGAGGCGCCCAGGGGGTGGTATGTAATTGTCCCAGGTCACTGGGTGGGGACTCGAGCCGGTTTTGCATTGTGTTATTGAAACGAAACCCCTAGATACAGAACCCGGCCCTTGTTGCTGCCAACTTAGATGGGCAGAAGGGTTACACAGGTAAAAGGATTTTGGTGTCTCTGGCCAGGAGGGATTTTATAGTATTGTACACAGGAGGGTTGTTACCCTTCCCTTTATAGTTATGACAAGAGGCAGATAGGTGTCTTGGACAATTTCCTCTGAGAGTAATATCCCATGATGCAGTGGGGGCTCTATGGAGGACTGGGGTAAATGTTACATGCCCTTGCAGGAAGCAGATCACAAGGGACTGACCAGCTAGCCAACTTACTCACCAAGCGTCCCGCACTAGTCCCTGGGCTGAGGCTTGGTGTGGGGCAGTTGATGGGTGACCTGCAAGGGAGCACAGAGCTCTACACAAGGAACTCATGCACGAGCTGTCTTGGCTTTCCAAGAATGTGTAGAAATCCCTCAACGCTCTGCCCGTATTCTCATCCCCATGGCTCACCTACTCACCCCACAGTCCTTGTAAGCCAAAGGACAGAGGTGACTGAGGGAAGGAGAAACTGGCTTCAAAGGCAACCTGCAAAGGAATTAAGAGATGGTTGGATTTCTGCCCTGCTTCTGTTTTTTCATGATGGATAAAGAAGGCCTGAAAGGCTGGGGTGCGGGTTTTGTTTAAATAAGGTAAAAATTCTGCTGCTTTGTTTTGTTTTTCTCCTCTGTTGAATTGATCCAGTACAGGGGAAGAGCTGCTTGCCACATTTGAAATACAGAGAGTGTCTGTCCTGAAGACCACATAACAATTGGAGAACCAGTATGACATCACCAGAGTCCTGAGTTCACAGCCCTTCAGGTGGTTGAGCTCTTTGCAAGTTTCACCTTTCCTCTGAATTTCCTGGAACGTTAATGATTGTTTGATAACAAAGGATTATGATCCTTATGTTACCAATAAGTTTTCTCGAGCTAGCTTCACCTTAATACACACAGGATAAAACACTACAGTGACATAGCTTCAGTGCTGCAGCTATACTGCGGTAGCGCTTCAGTGTAGACTGGAGGAATTCTCTTGTCTCTGCACTAAACCACCTTCCCGAGAGGTGATGGTGAGGCTGATGGAAATTTACTAGTGTCTACATGGGGTTTAAGGTCAGCTTAGTTACATCTCCCAGGGATGTGGATTTTTCACACCCTCAAGCAAAGTAGCTGGGTTGATCTAATTTTCTAGTGTAGACCAGCACAGTTGCACCAAAGGCATGATTTTAAACTGATTTAGTTAAATGGGTGCAACTCTGTGTGTGGACACGTCAATTGATTTAAACCAGGCTTAGATTAGTTACAAGAGCAAGCTAACCAGTCTTAAACTGATATAAAGTGTCCACACAGGGGTTTGCCTTGGTTTAACTCAGTTTGTAAATTCAACCAAGACATGTATATATGTGTGTGTACACAAGCCCAAAGTCTTTATTCCAGGGTACATTTTTCAGGTTTGGCATTCTGACGTGGGCTAGTGAATGGCGAAGGGCTGGCAATGGGGGAGGGGAGACCTCTGAGATAAGCCAGAGGCAGTGGGGAGGGGTTCTCTTTGGGGAAAACTCAGATGGGACTATTAATGTTCTTTCACACAAGGCCCTAGAATCAACCATTAAGAAAAGAGCCGGGAGCCCAGCTACAAACCCAAATCTCATAACTTAAAAGATCAGGGGTCGAGCTCCTTGTTCGCTTCAAGCAATATCTGAACGTCCCAGGCATTAAGACAAAGGAAATAACAAAGAGCCACTCTTTCCCCTCAACAGACAGTGAAACAAGATGCAAAAGTGACTCTGTCTGTGCTGCTCCCAAAGATCTCAGTGGGACCTGGATTTCCACACTAACCACAAGCTGAGGAACTGTATTTCCATCAGCTGTTTTAAATATACAAACAAACTACACGGGACAAAATGCTAGTCTGTCCTTGTTACATACCATTCAGGAGCACCCACTGCAGCCATAGAAATGGCTGAGACAGAATAATTTTATATGAACAGATAAATCAATCTGCATTTTCACCTATTGTAGCTATTTACTGGGTGCTCATCGGTGCTCTCTTGGTTTTCCTGCAGTTAACATTTTTAAACACTGTAATGAATCACTCTATAAAATAGCCATCTTCTCCCCAAAGCTGAGCCGCAGAGAATGGCAAATCTTTGCAATCCATGGCACTCTCCCCATGCCCCATATCCAAGAGCAAAACCCCGAAGGAATCATTACCTCTTTGTTCCCTAGATCTCAGCTTTGCTTCCTCTCTGTTGTATCTGGAGGTCTCCCAGCAGTGAGTGTGTGGAGTGTGATTCTCTACTCCGGGGCTTGCGGTTTAGTTCAAGTTAGTTACATAAACTGTTCTGCTCACATGCCAGCTGCTGGGAGTGTCAAATTACTGCTGTCATGCAATTCACCCCAGCTCACTGGAGAAGAAGTCGCCTGTAAAGAGTCAGCCAAGCCCAGTGGCATGTACCTTCTGCTTTGGGGAAAGCAGATCAGGACCCTGAAGTCTCTCTGGAGTGACACCAGTACTGCTGGGACTCCACCACCTATTCATTAACAAAATGTCCCTGTAGATTTGGCCAAACTCCCTTAGCCTAGCCTTTGGGTGACCTCAGCACCAGCCTGACATTTACCAGCACACTGCCAGTTTAAAACGTGTTCGCCAACAGCGCAGAACAGCAACTGCTATTGCCTCTATACTCCATCCTCCGAGAGCGATTGCCGTCAGGGTTCATGTCTAGTCCACAAAGCAGACCCAGCTGTAAGCCGCCGGGGGCCTATTCACTTCCAAATGTGGGTTGGAGGGCAGCCACACATCCCCCCTCAAGAAGATGACAGGGTCCTGAAGGGGACACACAAGCCTCTGCACTGAGGAATGAATAGGAGGGACTGTCTACCCCCTGATGGACCTTACTTCCCACTCTGGGTGCTGCTCGTGGTACACCTGAAGCCATGATACCTCTGGGTGTGGTTGTGTCACATCTCGTTAGCTGAGCAGGGTTGGGCTGTTTGGGACTTAGCTGGGAGGTTAGGGTGACCAGATGACAAAACTGAAATATCGGGATGTACGGGGGGGCTGGCGGAGAAAAAAAAAAAAAGCTGCCAGAGCGCCCACCCCCTTCCTCCCCCCCCTGCACCAGCTCGCCTCGTCTCCACCTCCCCCAGTAGGGGAAGGTGCCCAGCTGGTGCAATCCCGCAGGCGGCCCCGGAGTGGGGGCAGTAGGCCCCAGCCCCCCCATCCCGCTCAGGTCCCGCAGGGGAACGAACGGGGCTGCCGCTGCCTCCGCCCTAGGGCGGGGTTTCCCTACAGCCCACCCTGCGGGGTGGCGCAATCCCGTCATCCCGAGTGTGCCCGGGCCCAGCCTGCGCCCAGCTGCCCTGCACAGCACCGCAGGCGGCGGACCTGGAGTGGGGGCAGCAGGCCCCAGCCCCCCTGTCCCGCTCGGGTCCCGCAGGGGAACGAACGGGGCTGCCGCTGCCTCCACCCCAGGGTGGGGTTTCCCTACAGCATGCCTGCAGGGCGGTGCGCACGTGGCGGGAGGTGAAGCCCCGTCGGAGTCCCCGTGCAGGCAGCTGCTGGCCCCCCCCCCGGGCACATACAGGGAGCCAGTTCCCCAGGCCGGACCTCTGTGGCCCCAGCCCCGCAGCAGGGGCTACTCCACTCTGCCCCGCCTGGGACGCTCACCCCCGCAGCCCCTCTCCGCCCCACACGTGTCTCCGGCCCACGCCCCCGCGCCGCCCACCCGGGCCCTGCCTGCTCCGCACTGCCCCAGACCCATCGCGCTGCCCCGTGGGCTGCAGGGCTGGAGCAGCCTCCGCGCTGTGATCCCGGCCCCAGCCATGGCCTATGTGCAACTTAGGGCTGCCCAGGCTGCTGCACACGGAGGGGCATCTCCTCCCCAGGCCCGGCTCAGGATCCAATGGGGCAGTGAGAGGGTGGGGCTGGGGGGCGGGGATTTGGGGAGGGATCCACTGGGGGAAGGAGGGGGCGGAGTCGGGGGGGCGAGAGCCCCTCCAGGCTCCGCCTGTGCACCGGAGCGGAGGGCAAAATTGCTTGTTTGTCCAGTGTCCCGACCGACGCGGGACAAACAAGCAAATATCGGGACAGTCGCGATAAAATCGGGACGTCTGGTCACCCTATGGGAGGTGTACAAGGAACACACCAGCTCACCAGGCTATGCTGCAGAATTGTTGGTGGTGATTCACTAGGTGGTGCTAGCATTACTAGAATGTGTTTTATGCTACATATGCCATGTAACATATCTCTGTAAAGGTCATGATCTACTGAATCTATTAATCCTATTTGTATGCAAGTATCATTTGTGTATTCGAAGTTATGAATATTGGCTGCATACTTGTTTGATTCTAAGTAGGCTGTAGTGAAGCAGTTGGTCTGCTTCCTGAGAAAAGACTATTCTCAGTAAGTACCCAATCAAGAAACACTTAAGCCAACAATGAACTTGGAGACATGAATCCACATCTGGGCTTTCCTAGGGTTACCATACGTCCTCTTTTTCCTGGACATGTCCGGCTTTTCGGCACTCAAACCCCCGTCCGGGGGGAATTGCCAAAAAGCCGAACATGTCCGGGAAAATGGCGGCTCTGCTCCTCCCCTGACTCTTTGGCTCTGTTAAAGAGCCGAGCTGCCCGAGCGCTATGGGCTTCAGGCAGCCCCCTTGCCTCCGGACCCCAGCCGCCGGCCGGGCACTTCCCCTCCCGGGCTCCGGCGGCGCAGGGTCCGGAGGCACGGGGGCTGCCCGAAGCCGGTAGCGCTCGGGCAGCTTGGCTCTTAAACAGAGCCGAAGAGTCAGGGGAGGAGCAGTAAAAATCTGTCTGGGGATTGGGCCTGCTTTGAGCAGGGGGTTGGACTAGATGACCTGCTGAGGTTCCTTCCAACTCTGTGATAGTCTGTAAAAGGAAACATTCTGGACCTGGTGAGGCTCTTATCTGTATTCAGTTTCTTACTGTATTAGACATAGACTTGCATGTTTTATTTTATTTTGCTTGGTAATTCATTTCATTCTCTTTGTTTCTACTTAGAACCACTTAAATCCCACTTTCTGTATTTAGTAAAATTGCTTTTTACTTATTAATTAACCCAGAGTATGTATTAATACCTGGGGGGGGGGGAGGGCAGGAACAGCTGTGCATATATCTCTATCAGTGTTACAGAGGGCAAACAATTTATGAGTTTACCCTGTATAATAAAATGGATTTATTTGGGTTTAGACCCCATTGGGAGTTGGGCATCTGAGTGTTAAAGACAAGAACACTTCTGTAAGCTGCTTTCAGTTAAGTCTGCAGCTTTGGGGCAAGTAATTCAGACCCTGGGTCTGTGTTGGAGCATACAGGCGTGTCTGGCTCAGCAAGACACGATGCGGGGGTCCCAAGCTGGCAGGGAAAGCGGGGTAGAAGTAGTCTTGGCACATCAGGTGACAGCTCCCAGGGGGTTTCTGTGATCCAACCCATCACACAATACACCAGCAAACCGCTGCTAGTGTCAACACAGCCTCTACTGGTGTAGCTTATTCCACCATCCAGAACAACACAAGCTACACCATAAAAGCACAGCTCTGCTTGCATAACTGTGTCTATGCTAGGGGCTTTTGCCAGCACAGCTGTGTTAGTCAGAGATCACACCTCTGATTGACAGAGCTAGGCCAGCAGAAGTCTGTAGTGTACACTTTCTCTCTCTCTTGCGTGCATACTTTATGCCCCAAAGGAGACTCACTTGTTACCACCTTCACTGTTTCCTCTGGAGTGCCTGCGCTGTTTGTTTATGGACAAGGCCTGCAGCAGGACATTCCCCGCTTGCTGTCCCTGCCACGTCCTCCCTCTGCTCAGCTCAGCACCACTCACTTTTTGGGAAGTGCTGGCCCCCTGCAGCTGTCCACGCCCTCGCACTGGCTGGAGGACTTGCATCCACTTTGCATCACTACAGCTACCTCCAATGGGCTTTCTCTACTGGGGGATCTGTGCAGGAGTTTATGCTGCTAGAAGCTGACAGGCTGAATGTAGGCCAAGGTCTTTTAAAGCTCCAATTTATCTTTAGCTGTTTATGCAAGTGTTTTTACTTGTTACACTTTTCCCAGATTGGAGAAGTCAGGAAAGCAGACTAGTCAGTTTCACCTGGGTTTATGGTCAGTTTCAGTTTCACCTCCTTCATTATTAGGATGCTGGATTGTCTGAATTTCAAACATTGCAGAGAAAAACTATGCCTTTATAAACAAACTGTTTCCTTGGGCTGTTTGCTCTCCTGATTTCAGGTAAGGATTCCTGTTGTGATGGGCAAATGTACATTTCCCCCTAAATTATCTAGGTTTCTCTACCAACTACCACTAGCTTTGGTTTTATTGTCCCTCAGCAACTCCAGACCAAATGCACTCAGTTTACACGTCCGAAGATGCTTTTTCTAACCACCAGCCCAGCAAACTCAGCCTGGGCTCTGAGAGACAAGCTAGGGGGTCTTTCTACCTGTCCCATCATCCCTGAAAATAAAGCTTCTGCAGCCCAAATTATATCTGTCACTCCCTGGCTGACACTGGGCTTCCACAGGTGTATTCAATTACATAAACCATTCTGTTGATGCACAAGAAGGAACAGACTCCGGTTGCCCCTGCTCAGCAGTGTTGACTCTGCAAAAGCAGAGCAGTAAAGACTTATTTTCCACCTCACTGAGATCAGCAGCTCTGACACTGATACTCAGCAATTCTGCTCCTGGAGTGTAAGGGTGGCATTTTCACAGTCACGTTTCACGGCAGAACCACATTTAAACTTTACTCTTGGTTCTATTTGTGACTTGACTTCCTCTTTCTCCTATAATATGAAGTTCATTGCCCCAGTATTTCCTCTAGATGCATGACTCTTTGAGGGCATTTCAAACCTAAGCATTATTTGGTCCTTATTGCCCCATAGTTACATCCTGTGCCCCCTTCTGTAACTTGCACGAGACTAAGGCAAGTGTGTGTGTGCGCGCGCGCGCATGTGTGCATGTGCCAGGATTAGGCCCTGTTAATTGCCCAGTCATTGTTGTTCCCCAGCTGCACCTTTTAACCCAGATCCGGAGTCCTGGTTAATGCAAAGTGTATTGCTGCTCCTACGTGGAATCTCTCAAGCTGCAATGGAGAATGGGAATGAGAGATACCTGGGACAGGCCACCTCTTAGCTCTGTCATTATGAGATCGCTGGCCAGGTACCTCACCACCCCAGGACTGCCAGGCTAGGTTCCAATTCCCTTTTACTGGAGGCCAGGGAGATAGGAAGGAGCCCGACCTGCCAATCCTATGGCATTTGGCTGCAGACTGGCTTCCCCTGCATTCTTCACCTCCCAGCCCACACTCCTCCTGGCCCTGATGGAGCTCCCTGACTCCAGCACGAACCCTCTGTGCAGGGATCAAGGGGATGGAGGAGGATCCAGGAGGTTGAG